TTTTCCTATATTTTTCTATCGAGTTGCTTTCATTTCTTTCTTTTTTGTAACAATTTAAAGATGGGAAAATTATCATTTTATATAGCTTTAAATTGATGGAACGTCGAGTTTAACTATATTCTCGAAAGGTTAAGAGTAAATAATTGAAAGTTTACAAAGATTGAAAATGAATAGTGCAAACTTTCCTTAAAGAATTGAAGTATTATTTGAAAGACTATTTTTAATGACCATGGTTAAATAAGGATGCAATTTCTAAGCTCTTATTCTGAATCATACCTTTTGTTGAACTCAATTTTCGGACAAATCTTTGAAATGTGTGGCCTTCGTTAATGGTGGGAAAAACGGTTAAGTTGATTGGGAGATGTCTACCATAGAGATGTTACATCAATTAATCATACGAAATATTTTTTACAGAAGATCTCTTTGAAGAGACTTGTGGAATCAAAGGCTCATCGCTTAGAAAATGAGTTGCAGCAGATCATGGCACTTTACATCATCCATGGAGGATCGACCTCAACTTCACACCTCGATTAGATGAAGACATCACTTCGACTTCATCTTTGATGGCATCGACTAGGCCAGATAAGCAAGTGGTGTCGAGTGCGGGCCCAAGATAGTTTGTTAGCTGATTGCTATGTGATTAAGCACTTGAAACAAAAAAATATCCAAAACAAATAATGTCCAAAACAAATTTTTTTTTTTAAATTCTTCACGGGGCGGGCTCTCGCCCCACCCCGCCAACCAGTTCTGGGGGGATTTTTTTGCCCCAGTTGGGGCGGGGCCCCACGGGGACGGGGCGAGGCTGGAAAAATTGTCATCTCTAGTTGCGTAATTAATCTTTAATTAAAGTTCATATCTCTATTAAATTTTTGCATGATTATTACATGTCTAAATTTTGCAGAAACCACGATTTTATTGGGGTCAAATGATGATTTAATAAAAAGGATTTACATTCTTTATGTCATTGAGAACTCATTTCTAGCTTATAAATAAAATAGTAAGGACTAAATTTCTCCTTTTTAAAGGTTTGTACACTGACTTAAGATTTGGGATCAATGCTGCAATTTTCCTAAGAAAGGCAATGATGAGGAAGGGAGAGTGAATTTCAAGTCATTTTGATTGCGCAGGTAACTTCACTTGCTTTTGTTCGTGGTAGTTAACCACTTTTTGAATTGTCTTTGAGATTGAGATTGAAATTGAACATTGGTATTGAGATATGAGTTGATGTGGCCGTGAATGGTGGTGACACCAATATATGGAGAGCTAGAATTGTAGGTGAAGTCACTTTACCAGAAAAATGTTGGCATATACCTTATCATAATGGGTGTTGGCAAGAAGTGATTAGATGAAAAAAGTCGATATGTTTTCAATAATCCAATAATAGTTTGTCATGTAACATTATGTTAAGATAACATTAACATTTTTGACATTGTAGCATGATTCTAGAATTGTATGTTTGTTGTGGCAATCGATGTGATACTTTGATGATTCAAAATTAAAAAGGTCATAACTCAAGTAAGATCGTGTACTAAGGCACTTGAACGTTGGATAAAGAATTTTGAACGTAGAAGCTCGTCGTAAGATGTATTTGCATGGCTCGGGAAAATAGTTGTTACCAATAATTTCACTCCTACTCATTAAAATCATTATGTTTCTACGTTTAGAATAATTTTACTTGAGGTGTTTATTTTGAAAAAGGACCGAAAACAGTAAGTCCATGTTTGGCTCTTATTTTTTAAAAATTCATTTCCAACCATGTGTTTAATGAGACTCACAATTTTATAACACACATTTCATGAGAACTAAAAATATGATTTTTAACTAAAAGGGCTAATAAACTTTTATTTATGTAATTGTATATGTAGAATTGCTACCCTCACTCAACTTGTATACAAAATTTTACGTTATCACCAGTAAGAAAGTTACAAGACAATGATGTGATTAGTCGTCTAAAGTGGACTAATTGGAATCTTATTAATAATAATTAAGAGTACGAAAGAAATAATAATAATAATTATTAAGAATCTGTATGCACGACAAGGCATTGATTAGATAAACGCGCATTATTCAATTGTGATATATTTATATTTTTTCAAAAATATTTAGGACATCTACTACAATTTTTCCTTTTATTTTTCTATCGAGTTGCTTTCATTTCTTTCTTTTTTGTAACAATTTAAAGATGGGAAAATTATCATTTTATATAGCTTTAAATTGATGGAACGTCGAGTTTAACTATATTCTCGAAAGGTTAAGAGTAAATAATTGAAAGTTTACAAAGATTGAAAATGAATAGTGCAAACTTTCCTTAAAGAATTGAAGTATTATTTGAAAGACTATTTTTAATGACCATGGTTAAATAAGGATGCAATTTCTAAGCTCTTATTCTGAATCATACCTTTTGTTGAACTCAATTTTCGGACAAATCTTTGAAATGTGTGGCCTTCGTTAATGGTGGGAAAGACGATTAAGTTGATTGGGAGATGTCTACCATAGAGATGTTACATCAATTAATCATACGAAATATTTTTTACAGAAGATCTCTTTGAAGAGACTTGTGGAATCAAAGGCTCATCGCTTAGAAAATGAGTTGCAGCAGATCATGGCACTTTACATCATCCATGGAGGATCGACCTCAACTTCACACCTCGATTAGATGAAGACANTGAGTTGGCACATTAATTCATTGGTGGATTGGAACTCACAAAATCTTTATCCACCAATGAATTAATGTGCCAACTCATCGGTGCTTAAAATAAGATGAGCACCGGTGCTCATTAGATCATTTCTGTATATATATATATATATCACCGATAATATGACAAATCAATTTATTGATAAATAACAAACTTAGCCCATGTTCGTTTATCGTTATTCAATGAAAATGAGTTTTGAAATTGTGAGTTTTTGAAAAAAGTGTAGTTACAATTAAAAGAAATTTTGAATTTGCGTACAAAATATTTTATTACGAGAATGTGTGGTTGATGATGAATTTGAAAAAAAAAAAATTAAATAATGATAAACAAATATGGGCTTAAATATTGAGACCCATTTAAGTTTCCTATATTCAATTAAAGATTGTACGATTGAAAATAAAAAAAAGAAAAAATTATTTTACAAATAATGAGAACCAAACAAGGTTTAGTCACTTCACATAAATAAATAAAATAAAATCACTACACAACCTCGAGTGATTCACCAAAGGGGTTTACATTGTGGGTTGCATTGAGGGGCTAATAACTAAACGCATGTTTTATCCCCATTTTTGGATAAAAATACATTTTGAAATAGTAGATTGATGGAGAATGCACGATTAAAAAATAAGGAAAAAATTTAAATTTGCGTGTAATATTATTTTATTGAATGATGTGCGATTAAAAAGAAAAGAGAAAAAATAGAGAATTTTTTTTTTTAATCTTCTAATGAAAACGTATATTAAAGATTAATTTTCAAGCAATATATTGTAAGCGGGGCCTGCATTTGTAATAGTATGTTTTTGTTTTTCTGTAGTAGGAGTAATGAAATTTTTTTATCTTCTAAACCTGCGAGTGCATTTTTTGTATTAGGACTATAATAATAAATAAATTTTAACTAATTACTTTTCAATTATGCAACCTCATCAGTTGCGACTTTGAAGGCAATGAGAAATTATCAATATTTTGAAAACTTGCTCAGACGACGGGTCAAGGACAGAAAAGTGTAATTGAAAAAAATAGAGAAAAAAATTTATATTGAAAATAATGGGAATCAAACAAGGCTAAGACAATAAATTAGATAACTTGGGCATGCTTCTTAAATTTTATAGCATTTCGATCGAGAGTCATCCCTACGTTATAGCTTGATAGATGTGACTACTTGACTTATTTTAAATCGATATTTACAAGAGATGAAACAAATTGGATGTAGAGTCAAAAAGAATGCACGAAAAATATCAACACATGCTTCGTGACGAGTGATTTAACTCCATAAGTGTAAAATGTAAATGCATCGAAATGTTTCTAACCAATCAAAATGTTCGAGTTAAAATTCATCAGGTGATTTGATTGGTTCGTACAATTTGATCTAGATTTTAAAAAGTCCCTAATTTGAATCAGTTCGAACCATCTATAAGTATTTCATAAATAGCATCACGACCATTAACTATTCTAATTGTATAAATAAATAATAATAAATTTTTTTGGTTCGGTATGTCCGTTGGTGATGTAGTGTACCGGTTAAAATACCACATATGCAGCAAAATCATATAAATAGACTTCAAAACCCTAGAAATTATCCTCTTATCGTTCTCATATTAACCATCAAATTTCAACAATTTCAACATCTGTACAACATATTTTGAGGTTGCAGTAAATTCACTACTGAATTTCAGTGGAGCTTTGAATTTGTGGAATTTCGGAAATGAGCGCCTTTGCCGCCACTACATCGTGGTGCCCGAGCTCCTTTCAGCTAAAACTTGCGCTCAATCACCGAAAATCTCCGCCAATTTTTGTATGCACGCGGTTTCAGAAGCTCAATCGCCACAATTTGAAGTTCGTGTCGCTGGTGGTCCGTAATAGTGCGGCTAGTGGTAATGGAGTGGAACAGCGCCGCTCCGGGAATTCTTCGCGGATTGATTCCAATTCAGATAATTTCTCCGGTTGGTCCAATGCTGACGCTGAAGAACAGTCGGGTGACTCACGGCCCCAGCAATCGCTTGCTGGTGAGAGCATATCTGTCTATTAATTAATTATTTTCTTTATTGTAGATTTTACTCATTTTTTATTAATTTGAATATTTATCTCTAACAGTGGTTTGTTGATACATTTGACTGAATGTGATCATTTAAATTTGAAATGGAAAAGCAAGTGAAAACTAGCCATATCTTTGTACCTAGAAGAGAGTTTTCTTTTTTAAATTTGGTTGATTCCTGTGTATGCGCCAAATTTTTTGTATCTTACTTGATTATCAGTAAAATAGTCCAATAGAAGTCAATAAGTATGATAATAATAGTAAAAACGACCCTCATAAGCTTAGAGGTTGCTGTTGCCATAAAACGTGTATTTTTAAGAGTTTTTTTGGTACTGGTGGCTTCTTTTATAGACTAATAACGCTTGTGAAGTAGTTCTCTTTCAGGGATGCTGGGAGCAGGAGTTGCAGGGATTCTTCTTGTCACCGGACTCACTTTTGTAGCATTATCTATAAGCAAGCGAGGCACATCAAGTGAGTACATTCTCTCAGCTGTGATTGTCTACTAAGCTAAGCCTAGATATGTGTTTTCATTAGCATCAAATTGTTGGAAAAAATTATGCATTTAAGAAATATATTTTTCAGTATTCCTTCAATTGATTAGCCCGAAGCCAGCCAGCAATGGGCATAATAGGGATGAGTACTTGTATGTGTCTGTCTGAGGATTTGTCATTGAATATGTTTTGATTTATTTGTGTTAGAATTTGGGTTTTGGGATATCAGGGATTTCTCTCCATTAAGTATTTTTCCCACGTTTCTTTTCTTGATAGTGGATTTCATTCCTATCTGAGGGACATTGGTCCGTCCATTGACCAAATCACATTGGTGATACACTTCCTGTGTATTTACTTTGATTAATATAATATTTGATTACCTTTCAAAAAAAAAAATCACATTGAATCTTGATTATTTTTCCTTCTTTTTCTTTATATTTGTTGTCTGCTGGAATGGAAGTCCCCTTTATATCTAGAATTGACCCAATGTGAAAACTCGTGTTTAAAACAACCTTCATTAGAAATGTTGCAATACTTGTCAAAGAAGCTTCCTGCACCTCCTAAAATTTTATGATATCAGAGAATCAACTTCATTAAGGGTCTTTTTAGGCATCTATGCTCTGTGCTAGGATCATTATTTTTCTATCCTTCAGTTATTGATTGTTTTGCTTTTATATGTTTATTCACTAGCTATGACCTCTTCCCTCGAAGAGTAGTTGAGTCAGATTGATTGGTATATACAGGACTGAAACAGCAGATGGAGCCACTGACAACACTACAAGAGGAGTCATTGTCCTCCGAGGAGCAAAATATTGACAAACTTGAGATGCAAGAGAGTAGCAATCCAGAAAGCAAGACAGTTGCATACGAGGATCCTTCTTCAGGTGAAAAAAACAGTGAAGCTACTGAAAGTAGAATTAGTGATGGAACTGTTGCAGGACAGTCACCTAAAGATGGTGATGTCACCAGCAATGGCTCTATTCAAAAAGCTGCTCATAATGAATCAGCGATTAGTGATATTTTGGTTGCTCGGGAAGCGACCAATAAACCACCTGAATCTGATACCACTGACGACTCAAGCATTCAGAGTAAAAGTGGTAATCTTACTGCTGAAAAAACCAATGAAGCAGAAGCAGAGAACCTTCTTGATGACATTATTCCCGAACAGTCGGCCTCTGATGCTAATTCAGAAAATTTAAGCACGGATTTTGAGGGTAAGGTATCTGGCTTGGGTGAGAGAGAAAACTCTAACTCTTCATTGGACCCTTCTTCAGTTGAGCCTTCAACATTAAAAATCTCAGTTGAACCAAAATCAGGTTCAGTTTTAGAACCAATCATCATCGATGAAGAGTATATAGAAACTAGAAGCTCGCTTTCAATAAAAGATGTTGAGCCAAGCAAAGCTGGAGGCGATTCAGTAAACATGGATGATATACATCCCAAAGTGGAAAATATAAATAGAACTTCATCGAATGGAGCTGCTCTGGTGCCGGAAGCAGCATATGATCTTGCATATGAACAAGATGGCCATGACTTTAACGATATCAATCTTAACAGATCATCTTTTGATTCTACAAATCTTGAAAAGTTTTTTACTTCAGCTGGCATTCCTGCTCCATCCATTGTCTCTGAAGCTCTGCAGGCACTTCCTGGAAGGGTTTTGGTACCTTCTATCGTTGATCAGCTTCAAGGTCAGGCATTAGCAGCTTTGCAAGTTTTAAAGGTACTTAATCAGATTGCTCTGGCCTTAAAATCTGTTTTTCGCTAGAGCAGCTGTGTAGTTTCACATATCTGGTTGCTTCAAATATTTTAATTGGATAATTATATTTCAATTTGAATATTTAAGCTTTATTTATGTTACTGAGAAGAAGAATTTAATTGAACTGAGTTCCTTTAGTGTAAATAGTAAAGTGATTTCTAACCTATATTTTATTAAACATTGGATTTACCGAGATTTTCATTTATTTGCTGGACACGGAAATTTAAGGAGAGCTATCAAACACTACAAAAATTCTTCTTAAATTATTTTTATATGGTAAGTGATTTATATGGCAGTGCAATAGGAGGGCCTTAGAGCGCTCTTTTGAAAAACTCATGAAATGAGTATCTTTATGTATATATTAAATTTTATTTATTAATTAAATATGCATGAAAACTTCTTCAAAAATTAGACCGGAGACCATGCAACTTCATCAACTTTGTATTACGAAAAAAAAAAAAAAACCAATCGCCCATTAAGAGAGCTAACCTCTTACTCAGCAACCACTTCATGCATTTTCTACCAGCAGTTTCTAACCGTTGTAGGTATTTTAAATTAAACCAGAATTGTTCCAAAAAGCCAAGGAGACATCTGAATTCTAGCATACACAGGTACATATGCACACCTTATTCTCGTGCGAGCACAGAGCCCTTGTATAATCAGCTTTACTTATAGCTTTTACCTTCTTCAATTTAATATGTTAAAAACTTAAAAGTAACTCGTTCAAGTAGGCAAATCAAAGATGGCAGTGGCATTCCTTAACTTTCAATAATGTAGAGATTCAGCTGTTAATTTTGAAGTACGAGTGTGAAGGTTTCCCACGCCAGTTTTAATTTATTGTGCACTTTTAGGTTATTGATGCTGATGTTCAACCAGGAGATCTATGTACTCGCCGGGAATATGCTCGTTGGTTGGTTTTAGCAAGCAATGCTCTTTCGAGGTATTCGTTTCTCGTGTTATAATGGATGATGAAAGATACTGATTCGTAGTGTTTGAAATGATTGTGTTCAAATGGCTGTATAGTGGTATTACAGAATCTCTGAATTACTTTTAGGAACACAGCTTCAAAAGTTTATCCAGCGATGTACATTGAGAACATTTCCGAACTTGCATTTGATGACATTACACCTGAAGACCCTGACTTCCCGTCCATTCAAGGTAGGGGCTTGAATATTGAGTGGAATTTGATTGACTTTCCTTTGTTTTGTTTTGTTCTGGACTTTGAATCAATGGGATGGTTTCAGGCCTGGCAGAAGCTGGACTTATTGCCAGCAAACTTTCAAGACGTGATTTGCAGTCATCTTTAGATGAAGACACAAGTCCTGTTTTCTTCTCTCCTGAAAGGTAGGGTATTTGTTTGCTCACTGATATTCATGTTTCTCTCACAGGATTGGCTTGTATAGTTAATTGAATTAAGAATAGCAAAAGAAACAGAAAATGGATGTCTATCTAGGACCTGCATCTAGTATTTGGAAAAATGATTTTCTTGTGTCTATTTAATTTTTTCTCTTTTTTCTTGGAAAAATGGATGTCAATCTAGGACCTGTCTTGTGTCCTTTGTGCTTCTTGAACTGTTCCTTCACACGAGTTTCAGTTGCTTATGAATATAGCATATTGTGGGCATTTGACATTTTTTGCTTCCAGCTCTTGAACTATTTCTCAAACTGTTGTGTTGCAGTCCGTTGTCTCGTCAGGATCTTGTGAGTTGGAAGATGGCTCTAGAAAAAAGGCAGCTACCAGTAGCAGATAGGAAGGTTGTACAAATTTGATAATGGTTACTTTAATTTACTTATTGCGGATAGCATAGCATTGAGATCATACGACTTTCTAATTGACCTGCACTTTTCTGCAACCAGACCCTGCAGCAGCTATCCGGTTTCATAGATATTGACAAGATCAACCCAGATGCATGGCCTGCACTTGTAGCTGATTTAGCAGCTGGAGAACAGGGGATTATAACTCTAGCACTTGGTGAGTTTCATCAATGTCAATACGTCATTTTCATCTAACTTACTTTCTTTGGAGTTAATCCATCCTATTACTATGATAGGATATACAAGACTGTTCCAGCCAGCAAAACCTGTAACAAAAGCGCAAGCTGCTATTGCCCTTGCAACTGGTGATGCTTCTGCCATTGTTAGCGAGGAACTTGTACGTATCGAGGCAGAATATATGGCAGAAAAGGCTGTAGCTGCTCATAGTTCTCTAGTTGCTCAAGTTGAAAAGGATATGAATGCTATTTATGAGCAGGAGCTTTTTCTAGAAAGGGAAAAGATTAGTGCTGTTGAGAAATTGGCAGAGGAGGCAAGAAGAGAGTTGGAGAGGATGAGGGCTGAACGAGAAAAAGAAAATCTTTCCTTAATGAAGGAACAAGCTGCTGTGGACTCAGAAATGGAAGCTCTTTCTAAGTTAAGACGTGAGCTGGAGGAACAGTTGCAAACCCTTATGAGTAATAAGTTGGAGATTTCCTACGAAAAAGAAAGGCTTAACCAGCTTCGGAGGGATGCAGAATCTGAGAATCAAGAAATTTCCCGGTTACAGTATGAGCTGGAAGTTGAGCGAAAAGCCTTATCCATGGCTAGGTGAGAAATTCACTTTCATCTTTACGTTTGAAGAAAGCTTCTCTTGAGTGGTCAAAAATTATATACATGATGATCAAGGGATTGCATATGTATATATCTCATAAACTTTGAAGATGATATTCCCTCACTAGTTTGCATTCTAATTAGATTTGTGTCATTGTTTATTCAGTGTAACTTGGTCATAGGTGTGGCCTGCAATTCCTTTTCCTTTTGGCCAATGTCTGTCTATGTTGCTACTTATAATGGGGTTATTTTTTATGAAAATTTTGTACGGGTACGTTGTGAGGCACATTTCCTGGATTATCATATATTACAAAGTAACCATCAAAATAAGCTCCCTCATTCTATTAGATCGAAAGATTCCTTTATAGATTGTTTCTTGCAATGTTGAGATTGTTATATCTCTATATTTTCCTTCTGATTTTTACCTTTATGTTCTCTTCTGGAGAGTTTTTCCCCTTGTGGAAAAATAAGTAGCAGATAAATTTACCAGGAAGACTTCCTATTCTTTCAACCATAACTTAGACCTTCTAAATACTTTAGCCGGTTTCGTCCCAATGACAGAATTGAGTCATAATTGATCACTGAACCACTGAGCCATTGGTGTAGCTAAAATAGGCTGATTTGTCTTGGTTATACTGACGGGTAGGCAACATGGGACTGAACATGTAAAAAGATCTGCTCTTGCGCATTGTACATAATTTTTGGAAAGTGTCCATGGTGTCTAGGGAGTTTTAACTTGTTGGGGGAGGAAAACATTTTTAACCTCCACTTTTTTGATTTTGGTTATTAAGAGTTGAATGTCGATCTCTCTGAGAAATATGGGAAGGGTTTGATCAGAAAGACGAGATGATTGCAATTTTGGTTTTAATCTTTCTCTGAGACATCCCGAAAGAGAGGGAAGCAGAAAAACAATATGTTTCAGGAAGTAGAAGAAGAATATAAAAATAATACTTAAAATGATGATTCTATTGTTTTCTTATTATTTTTAAATTATTTAACTCACGTTCATATATTCTTTACCCAGAGCTTGGGCTGAAGACGAGGCGAGAAGAGCAAGAGAGCAATTAAAAGTCCTGGAGGAGGCCAGAGAGCGTTGGGAGGAGCAAGGCCTTAAAGTTGTGGTCGACAATGATCTGCGCAAAGAAGAAGATGCTGCAGTTACATGGCTTGCTACTGGAAAGCAGCTCTCAGTCGAAGGAACCGTTGAAAGGTCTGAGAACTTGGTGGACAAGCTTAGGGCGATGGCAGACAAAGTGAGGGGTGAATCAAAAAATACTATTAATAAAATCATCGAGAAAATACTTATCTTGATATCACGGTTAAAGGACAAGTTCTTAAATATAGGCAGAGGGGCAGGAGAGAGAAAAGATGCTGCTAAATCAAAATTGGAAAGTTCGTTACAAAAGGTAAGGCAAAACTCTGCCGAATTTACTTCAGCTGTTAAGGAAGGCGCCAAGCGAGCTGCCGGAGACTGGAAAGAAGGGGTCGAAAGAATATCCCAGAAGTTCAAGACATGATTTCATGTTGCAATTTTTTAATTGCATCGTTTTTGTTAGACTGTAATGGCCATGGAAAAGCTTCTTTACAGCTTGTTGGGCTTCTGTTTACTAAAATAGAGAAGAATGCGGTACAAGAAACTGATAGCATCAAGGAATGTTGTCATATGTTATCGTTGAATAATTGTAAAGGAAATTGTAGAATTGTAATATTTCCTTTGTACGGTGGTGGTCGATTAATGATATGGATAATTAAACCCCGTCTTCGTGTCAAGTAGTCTTAATTTTCAGATAAGTTGATTCTGCTTTGTGAGGAAAATTTGAAGGAGAAATGATCATCATGCATTCATGCTTTGTATATTAGCCACATCATAAAAAAGTGACCTAATGGCCCCTTGGGCTGCATGTTTGGCTAAGTTCAAAAATAAGTGAAAAGCATATTTTTATTTCTAATCATATTTGAATAAGCAAATTTACTCAACGATGAAGTCCAAGACTAACATTAGCAAAGAAAATTTACAGTAGCTAGACATTTTAACAGAATCAAACCCCTCGTAAATTCAAATCTAGATAGCCGACGACAGGATATATTGCTTCCCATTAACTAAATTTCCTTTGATCTTGAAGTCTCAAACCCTCAGACTCGAAGTCCAGAGTTCACACAAGTTTATGCAGAAGAAAAACAGTTATCAGAAGAACAAAAAACCTTTGTCATCAGATAGGTTACATAATAAAAAATTTAAAAGTAATTCCAACACGAAAAAATGTTCCTTAATTTATAATGTCTAAAGACCAACAAAACACATTTAAATCTAAATGAAAATGCATTGACTAATACACTTCCAATCAAATACTCAGACTCAAGATTTACTTCCAAAACTGAAAGCCTAAGAAAAAGGCTTCACTTGTTTTCACCACCTCCACCCTGCATAAATTTTCAAAATAATATAAGCAAAACAGGATGAAAGAATCAACTATATTAAGACCATGGCAAATTCCTGGTATTATCAGACATGGAAAGAACAATAATATCTTTTGTGAGAATTACCTCATCTTGCGGAGAACACTAGACATTTCTTCTCTCTTCTTCTTTGCCCTCTTGTGAGTGCCCAACTTTCTTCTAGCAACCTTCAAAGCACGTTTATCATTTCCAACTTTCAAAAGCTCAGTGATCCTTTTCCCATAAGGTGCAAATCCAGCAACTTCCCTAATAAGGCCCCTTGCAAAATGTACTCTCTTGCTCGTTTTCCGAATTAATCAATATTTCAAGCAACAAGAATTGGATCCCAAATTGTGTACAGTGAGGGTCAGAATTTGCGCCTAACTTAGCTTCAAAAAGAATTTGTGATTTGTGATAATTAGCTTATAACATAAACCTGAAAAACTAATCTACTTAACAAAAGTCTGAATTTCTCGAACAAACTTGTTAAAGTTATTAAGATTGTTGTACAGCACATAACAAAAGACAAATCACCCATGATCGAAGGAGCTATCTTCCAGCTTAAAATTGAGTGTGCATACAACCTATCAATTCATCATTCTCGCTGACGTATATAGTAAATTGGAAGAAACGGACTAACATAAAAAATTGAAATATATCATCAAAAGCTTGATCTGCTAAACAAAACACTATAAAACAAGTGCAATCATTCAAAACCATTAGGAGCTTCCTTAGGCAGAACTGAGCTGAAAAACGTAGTAAGAAACTAGACAAAGGACATAGAAGAACTGACTCCTTTTCTAGAAGACGGGTGGGGAGCCAATTCCTTCGGGGTCACTACATGGCCTTTGTTCAAACCCACAAATAGACCAGTGTTTGGCTGCTTTGGAGCAATTACCTATATTACAACATTAAAGCACAGCCCCACTTAGTTATTTCTCTTACATGTTTATCACACAAATCTGAAAACATTAAATAATTTCGATCAAAGCAACAAAAATCTTTCCCAGTATACTCGATTTAACTTTACAAACAGAAATGTTATTTTTGAGCATCAATGAGTCTGTATACATATATAATTTATGTTATTTTAATAAATTTTAAGGAAAAATTAGGATAATTGAGTTTTACAATAACACTACATTATTTAACGACACAATTCAGTAGCTCAAGTACATTATGCACACAATCTTTTGATACATAATTTATATATAAATAATTTCATGACATGAAATTTCTTAACATTTTATTCTATAAACAAATAGTGATAACACATTTATTATTGGTTTGGCAAATAGATAAATAATTTATAAATAAGAATTGTAAAAATATAGAAGTGAATCCCACTAAATTTTTAGATAATAATGAGCAATAATTACGAATATAATATTAAAATTAATGTTTGACTTTGATTGAATTTATAAACAATTTATGTGTTTTAAGAAAACTTCATAAAAAATCCTTATTTTTAACATTTTTTTAACTCGAAAAAACATAAACCAACAGCACAATACTCTAAACCACAGATAACAAAAGATTAAACTGGAAACCAAAAGCAGAAGCAAAAGATCATAATGATCCATAGTGCACATTCAAATGCCCAAGAAAATTAACCAAGAACTCGAATAGAAGTGAGGGAAAAAAAATAGTTATTGGAAATTTATCAAAACCAACAGTGTCATAGAGGAGAAATGCCCGACTTGTCCAATTGGAAATGGAAGGCTACAAAAGAAATGTAAACATCAATGTTGAGCTATATAGAAGGCATTTTCCAAAAAGCTCGACTCTTCGTGAGAGCCGGCACAACATCCTGATAATCTTTATGTAGGTGTTCTCCCCTCCTTCTATTCCTCTTTATCTAGGCACAATACTTTGTAATACAGATGTAGATAACCTGAAACGGTAATTGAGCACATATACACATAAATCCTCATAGTCCAATATAGTTCGATAGACAATCTCAACTAATAAAGAAGAACCATCACCAGAGTATACATGTGAATCAAAAAATCCTGCTAAACTAAACAAGGTCATTTAAATCCAGTGGACCTCCAGAAAATGTGTAGTTTATCCCTACTGAGCATTTTTCCTCTTTTTTTTTTTTTATCCCTATTGATAGTTAAGATTAATAGATTAGCATAAACCTTTTAGAATGCGGAACCATATGAAGAATTCCAAAGATATATAAGCATCTAAAAGATATTTGATACTGAGTCCAATTCTAAAATTCGTTTATACATATTACAGCAACAAAGAGAAATAATTGTGATAGCTAAATGATGATAGGCAAAACAGTTTCAAGTATATGAAGAGTTTATTTCTTTGTCCCTAATGTAAAAATTAAGGATTCCTCCAATCTTCATTTCAAATGGTTTGATATCTTGATATCAAATTGTAGCCTACGTATTGTCGTCATGCAGATTTAGTACGCAGATCATATAAATCACCATAAAAAGAGAAAGAGATCTTAGAGAAAATAGGGTGTTTGATTTCTTCTCTTGTAAACTTCTTTTCCATATAGTGAATTAATGCAACGATAGAAAAAGATGTATTCTCATGTTGAAGCGAACCTCCATAAATCTTGTGTGTTCTTTTGTTTCTTTTTCTTTACTGCGATTTCATTGTTCTTTGTGATATGGAATTAACGTTTCTAATTCTCAACACTTGATAGTTCGAGATATCAAACTTCCAAAAATGTTTCGGGAGGGAGGCAAATCAAGAGATTCACGAGAAAGAATACTCATCCTAAACATCATGTATGGAGACAGATCTCTCTTCCATAGCTCCAAAAAATCTCACTTGCTAGAGAATTTTCTCTCGTGGCCGGTTCTACTTGAGAAGCATCAGATCTTTTCCTAGGTCTTCACATGAAAAGACATTGAATAACTTGCTCTCTTCTCACTTTCGAGTAAAAACAATTACACATTTCTAACATTAACCTACTCTCAAAACTTACTTAATACTTATAAGTGAACCTTTTAAACTTTAGCCAAACATGCTCTAGCCTCTGTAGAGAGAAAGGTTCTGGATTTATAACACGATTCAGATACAATCCAAAATGAGGATTCCAATTTCAAATTCTGCAGCTATAACAACCAAAAATACAAAATCTGCAAAACAAAATTGTAAAAAGTGTAACTGAAACTTACAATAAAACCGCAGGTTTAACTATTTGGGGGAATCCGAAGATGTCTTTGCATTTTTTATGGAACATGAAGATTTGAAAGCTTCAATATGCGATTGGCATTTGATATAATCCCCTTTGTTTTCCTCCAAACATTTCTTCAGAGCCTCCACGTCACACGGTGACATTATCTTCTTTGTACTGCTCCTGTGGTTATCCACCATTCCTTTCATCTTCTTCAAATCCGATGTTCGGATTACAGCGAGTAAAGGTGGATTATCTGAAACGACAATTTCATGCTCATCCAACAAGTCAGTTTACCCAATAAAATCATACTAGGGTTTATAATTACATACACAATTGAGTGAAGAAATCAGCTAAAAATATTGTGAAGAATACATTAGAATAGAAAATTACCAGAATCTTGTCAATTTGTCGCATATATTGCTAATCGATTAACCATAGAGATGGAAGGAGAGAGAAAAATGGAGGAACTTAGAGCATGAATAAGATTAAAATTCAATTAAAATTGAAAATATAATTTTCATTCATTTAATAAAAATTAAGATTTTCAATTTCACTTGAATTTAAATCTTAGCCAAACATTTCCCGGGTTATTAAATTTGCTACAGGATATTGAGTGCATAGAAGAGTGTGAACCAACGAGTTACTTTTTGCTCAATGAATTTTGTTACAGGTCCACCTTTGTTCACCATTGTCCATCAATCACCCATATTATTTCCATCAATTTATCTATAATAAAGGGTAACTTTGCCCAAATTTAGGTAAACTATGACTAACATTTTAAATTTGGGTGAACAAGCAGTATAGTAAAGTTCAGTGAGCACAGAATAACTTTTTAAATTTCATTGGTGAACAAGCAGCATAGTAAAGTTCAGTGGACACAGAATAACTTTTTAAATTTCGATGAGTAAATGGTAATTTATAATAAAGTTCATTGACCATCAACTAAATTAATTCTTTTAAATATTGAGGCTAACTTGCTATTCTCACAATAAATTGAGGACCAGTCGTGTAATTTCTCGAGTCAGTATGTATACTGTGACAGAGTGCGTATGATGTACGCTGAAAAGGGCTAGACAGCGACAAACTGACGAAAATACCCTCGTTTTTAAATTTAAGAGCGTTGGAGGTTGGAGCGGAAGCCAGAGAGGCCGGCCTCAAACCAGAGTTTGAATAAAACCTTAACGGCTATATTCATTCACATTCATCTCTGCTTCTTGTTTCCATATAACTTCCTTGTTATTGTTCCTACTGCTGGTTCTGTTTTTTTATTGCTTTGAGAATCGAGGTACACAATTAATCCTATTTTTCATCTCTCCAGCGTTAAGAAATTGGGAAATTTTTCCATGGATTCAGTAACGACAGATCCAGACCGTGTTAAAGTTAGCAAGGGCTCAAATCCATCAAAAAAAGTTCGAATTATTGGGAAAATCAGGGGTTTCACTGACCAAGAATCTCAATATCTGACACAAGAATCGAAAAAATGGATCACCGTTAAGAAATTGCAAGAAAACGATTCATCTTGTAAAGTTGCGGTTTGTTTTGAATCTCAATCAACCAAGTAACTTCGTTTTCCATTTTTTTTATTGTTTATTTTGAAGTAGAATTTTGCGTTTATGTAATTTTAAAACGACTGATTGCTTATATTCAGGTACATACATATTTTTTCTTCTGTATGTTTTAATCTACAGCTTGTTTATTTTTCATTGTCATGTAATATCAAGATTTTCGCTGGAAATATTAATAGCCCATTTCATCGTAGAAATTGAATTAGTGTTGGTGATTTTGTCTAGAATTTTTCTTCGTGCATGTCAATTTTGTGCTCAAACAAAGAATCCCAGGACCATCTGGTAATTTCTATTTAAGGGTTTTTCATTTATGTTAACTTCTAGAGAAGATTAAAGATTTGGTCTTTAATGGGATATAAATAAACAAAACATATTTATTTGTGATTAGTTATGAAATTCTGAACCCTCCATGAACATTAGCACATTAACTTTTATCCATGTAATTAATCAATTAGATGCAAGTGTCCTGCTGCAATTTATTTAGGCATCTAGGATGTTTAGGAAAAGCAACTTCAATCTTAAGAAGTATCAGTTTCGTAGTTTTCGATGGACCTAATTTTATCTCATCGTGTATTAGTCGCAAGGATCCCTACGAACTGGACTATTGCTATGAACAAGATGAAGATATTAACCTGATATATACAAGAGAAATACAACCCATGATTTTAGAGGTCTTGGATGGTCGAAATGCATCTGTCATTGCTCTTGGGGCAAGAGGAAGTGGGAAAACTTACACAATCCAGGTGTTTTTTTTCAGCGATTTTTTTCTTTTGTAACTCGAGGAAACGTTGTATTCTTATTTTATTGTTTGATTCATTGAAGGGCTCTCAAGAAAAACCAGGTTTAGCAGTAATGGCAATGTTTGAAATTCTTTCAAAAGCAATGGAATTTGGGAAGTCAGTTTCTGTATCTCTCTATGAGGTGATACAAGACCATGCTTATGATCTTTTGGATCCTAAACATCTTGAGATTCAAATACTGGAAGGTGCTCAGGGCAAAATCCATCTTAAAGGACTTTCTCAGGCAAGCAAATATGATTTTCAGATAAAAATAAAGTTTTCTACTATAGAGGATTTAGCGTGTAGTTTTGATATTATATCTACTTATGGTGCTTTCTTAATGTTGTTCTCTTCTAGGTCTCTGTGAAATCTATCCAAGAATTCCACAATATATACTTTAGTCGGGGTAGTTTTCAAAAGTCTGTGCAAAAGATACCAACAGAGCAAACACGCAGCCACAAGGGCTTGATGATACACGTATCATCTGAAGATGACAATCTGAAAACCAAGTTAACAAGCAAGATGAATTTTGTTGATTTAGCAGGTTTTAACCACGGAACTTTTAACAGAATTTAAGATTGTATAATTGTATTCATACTTCTGAAGACTTGACTTTGTGATTACTGTTTTCACGTATCAGGGTATGAAGATCCTAGAAGAAATATTAAAGATGGAACCATATTTACTGAGAGTAACAGGACTAATAAGTCACTATATACCATGTTGAATGTAGTCTATGCCCTTAACGCCGATGAGAAACGTGTGCCATATCGGGAAAGCAAACTAACTCGAATATTACAAGAATCCCTTGGAGGAAAAAGTCATGTATTGATGCTTACATGCTTGGTACGGATTTTATACTTTAGGAGTTGTATAGATGTTATTATTTGTTCATACATTGTGAACTTACTTTTAACTTCGATATGTCTTTTTAATTCATTTCATCCCTATTGATTGCAGAATCCTTCCTTTTGCCAAGACTCTGTTTGCTCATTAAGTTTAGTTTCTCTGTCACGCCGAAACACCAAGCAAGTGTTGATAGACTCCACAAACAGAAGTCGAAGTTCGGCAGCCAAAGTGAACGCACCTTCATCAATAAAAAGTGGGAAGACGCCATCCACTTTCTTGATCATGAAAAAACAGATAGCTTCGAGTGTGCTCCTGTCGAAAAAGAAGGATAGCAGCACCTTGAGAGGAAGGTAAAACATCTGATATTGGAATCAAAGTTATGAAGTGTTCAATGTAGCATTTTACTAAACTCTCTCTCTTTTACGCCGCTGAAGGAAACTCTTTGACGAAGAAAAATCAAACAATTCTAAGCAGGTATTTTCTGTTAATTTCTGCAATCCATTGAGTAATCAGGTTCTCATTTCTTTCTCTTTCCTTTGCTTTTGTCTTTCCTACATGTAGATATCGCGGAAATGATTTTTAGACACTTCAAGCATTAAGCACGGAAAACTGTTACTATGTTGTTAACTTTTGTTAGTTTGAAGTTTGTTTATTTTGTAAAGTACTCAATTTCCCTTCCCTCTTTGAGGAGGAAAAGTGAATGCATCGTGTACCACTGGTATTCATGTTTATTAGTTCAAGCCAAACCCGTGCCTAGGCCACACTGGTATTGTTTGGTTTGGTTAAAAGGAAAAAAAGAGCAGTTACTAAGCACTAATTCCATTTAGCTGTAAGCTCATCTAGACTTCAACTATAATGCAGTTGAGATCCCCACCTGAAGATACTTCAGCCAGCAAAACGAAGCTTCTCCCACTTGTTGCTTCAGATGTTACACCCTTTTCCTTGGAACAGGTATTTCGACTCTCAAAAAATTCTTGTAATGCATTTACTTAAAACAGGTAACAATGTATTTTGATTGATACTGTCATTATCCTTGAGAATATTTGTTTGATGCTGCAAAAACAGGATAAATCTATTTCAGATGTTAACTTAGCTGTGGAACCAAAAGAAAATGTGAGAATTATTTATTCTGAAATTTACTACAGATTTAAAGGACTTCACACTCAAACAGTGTATTAATTGCAGGGCACTCCATTGCCAATTTCCCCAAAGGATTTGGCTATTGTTCTTGCTGAAAAGGTATTATTACTTAGTTTACTTGTAGACTATTGATTGCACTACTAACACTATCGCTTTAAATAGCCAATATTGTAAGTTTGGTCTTATTTGGAAATTTTACTATTACACGCTAATGAAGAACTAATATGCATAATCTGTATGCTTTTGATTTTTCAGGATGTTTCATCACACAGCAGGAGTGATAATGTGGATGCTTCTCCTGGTATTACTGCTGATGCAAGACCTATAAGTATATGGAATAATGCTTTGATTTTTCTATCATTTCTCTTTCATATTATTCAATGCTTCAGGTTGCTTGGGCGAGGAAAATGTACCTTTGAAAAAGAATGAAGATGGAGCCCTATCACTTACTGAAAGACTAAGAGAAATATCAAACAATCTAAGGTCGTTATGTTCATCAACTCCGTCCAGGGTTAAGTTTTTAGACAATGCAATTACACCATATAGCAGTCAGATAGACCCCAAAACCCCAGTCGTGGAACGTCTTGTTGAGAGATACCATAGTCCTCGGGGTACTTTCAGCAATCGCAGCTTGGGAGTGAAGGTTCGTGATGCTATATACCTTATATCCATGCAACTCATTGTTGGTTTGATGCTAATTAAGTATACCTTGTCCATGGCAGCATTCTCTTGTTCAAGAGTACCTTAATTTTTTGAATTCTGCTAACAAGTAAGTAAATCTTCCATACCTTTTCCCAGGTTATTATTTACGCCTTTTAAGTTCTGCATTCATAACCTAGTAAAATTTAAGAAAACTAGACCTTGATTTTTCCAACACTCATACGGTAGCAAATATAATATAATCTAATTAGACCCAAATGTTAGGTGATGGAACCCCAAGCAAACCATGGGGTTCTTATTGGGTAATGATTGTCAACCTCGGGGCTAAACCTGTCATGATATGAACTAGAAACAACTCATGCACTCCAATTATCAAGTTGCCAATATCAAAGTTGATAAAAATAGTTAACCTGAAGGTGTTATAAGTACAATTCAAGTGTATTTTGATCAATTTCAGCTGTTAGCCTTTGTTTGATTTTGATTTTTTTTTAAAATCACTTTTACTCAACTCATTTTTAACCCACTCATTCTCTTAATAAAATAAATTTGCACGTGGCTTCTAAGTTTTCCCTACTTTTTAACTTACACGTTCTCCAAAAAAGTCACTTTTCACAAAATCATTTCTCAAAAAAGTCAAAATCAAATTCTATACTAGAATTTCGGAACACAATCATCATCCAATAGGCAACACTGAACATGGAAAACGGATTCGAAGATAATTAGTTATGACATATGATTTACCATACATGCTTTAGAGCATACATGCTTTTAAAGATTGATATGTTGACAACATTGAACTAATGTTCTTGTAACTAAAGTTAGAACAGTAAATCTTTATATTAGTTTAGGGTGTAGGTTAATTTGCTACTGTTATTTCTTGACTACAATGTTTTACCATGCATCTACTTTGTTACCTTATTGTCATGAATTACCACCCGTTTTGTGTCACTCATAAACATATTTTTTGGTTTTTGTTTTAATCTAATTTACAGGGAAGAGCTGAAAGGCCTGAAGGTATGTTCATATATTTGATGTTTTTAATTATTTTCTTGGATTTCTTTAGATTAGATGTAGTATCATATGATGTATTTATTATACAGGGCATCGGAGAGAAAAGAGCTACGTACATTCTTGAACGCCGCGAAGAAACTCCCGAACCATTCAAGCAAGTAAGATTTCTTTTTCACACTACGACTACCATTTTCATATTTCTAAGTGCTCGTAGTTAGAAATCACGAAAAAGATTAAATCCTTATAAGAAATAAAGTTTTTGCTCAGAATATGAGCAAGACCAGAACGTGAGAGGTTTGAATCTGCTTATCTCATCTTTCTTGACAAATAAACCAGCAGTCATCGTTCTCCCACTAGTTTCATAACTTGTTTGAGATGAATGGTCTTTTTTGTGCAATTCAGGCATTTTGGTCTTGTATTTTAACTTGAAAAATGTTTTACTTCACAGCTGGATGATTTACAAAACATTGGCCTTTCAGCAAAACAGGTACTTTTTTTATTGATCTGGTTTAACATTGCTCTTTGAATTAGTTAAATTTCTTTTATATTTTTATTTTCTTATATTTTGTTAAGCAGATTAAAGGAATGATGAAACATGTCGCCGGAGAGCTTTTCAATTAGAGAAAATCGAGTAATTTTGTTTGGCAACAGAAAGTTGCCACTGCTGTTTTTCATGTTCGAAAGGGAATTTATATCCTTCAACTATGTGTACTTTCTTCTTGAGTCTTCTATTGTGTGGTCTACATCTACTAGACGATTGTTTATATAACTTCGTGGTGCAAACTTTCAAGTAAAATTGTTAATTTTATCCTTATTACATTTAGTCAAAATTGGTTGAGTTCCTTCTTGTAGTATATTTTTGTATTAACGCTTTATTTTTTATTTGTTAGTCTACTCTATGTAAAAAGCATTTTATTTAGCTCATAAAGGGAGTTAATTGTCCTAATAATTGCTGGACTTGTGTCTATCTAACGTCGAGTTTTGACCACTAAACATAACAAAACGTTGGATATTAATACGACATAATATCTATTTCAAACCTCTAACAAAATTGGTGACGTGGCAAACAGAATTCACAGGTAGCTCTATCATATAAGAAAACATCTTTTATTGTTCATAAACTTTGGAAAACGTTTTCGATTATTCATTAAACTTTGGAACATGTCTTCAATAGTGAAGTGGTCGAATTTTGGTCACTAAACTTATAAAAATGACGTCAGTCTATTGTTAGTTAAAAAAATGTGTACCGCAAGCACACATATCGTGTACAAGTAATAAAGTGGACAAACAAGTCTAGGTTGTCGATCGCACGAGGAATAATTACTCAACTACATAATAATTAAGTTTAATTTTAACAACGAAACACACAACAAATTTGGATTTTTCAAATGATGAAAATATCTTAAAATTCTACAAAAATAACGAAGAGAACAAATAATAAAATTGAGGAAAGGTCTCACGTCTGTGATCTAGTTTGAAATGCTTGTCAACCTTTCTCGTTCTCATTTTCCTTCTTTTCATTGAAATTTGCGGGAAATCGTGAGATCCACATATAGCAGCAGATGGTTTTGCATATGAAGGAGATGTAATAAAAGGATGGTTTAATACAAGACTTCACCAATGACAAATTTAAAGCTTTAACGCGCGCACTGATCTCCTTCCCAATAATGCTCTTTACAGTGTCATTCATGGTGTGTTTGAGCTACATTATTTTGGAAGAATGTATTTTGGAATAGTAGATTGATGGAAAATGTATGGTAGAAAAAGAAGGAAAAATTATTGATGTGATGAAAAATATTATTTTATTGAAAAATGTGTAGTTGAAAATAAGTAGAAGAATGAAAATGAAAATTTTAATGTGGCTCAAACAGGTGCTCAAGAGTGGAAGCATCACTCCTAAAATTCATCATGCCGTATATCAATAAATGTATATGTACTTTTTCTTGCTGCATGTTTTGTTACAACACTTGATTATTTTCCTCCCTTACCAAACATGTCATTACTAACGTCAGGAGCATAGAGTTCGAATGTAAACCAGTTTCATTTTTCAAAATATTGTTACATTGTTTAAAATAAGCCAGTACGCCCACACAAGAATTGTGAGACTTTGTTTTGTAAGTAATTTGTTTTAAAAGGTTCTTTTCTTTGACCTTAAAAGTTTGCAGACCTTATTTGAACATCATGTCTATCTGTACAATATATGTACATTCGGGCACGAATCGTTAGGCACTAAGATTATTGTACCAAGACGGTTAAGTCAAATGTGTTACTATAAGAGTACAGGGAATTTATTTAGAATTGGTTGTGATAGGGACAAACAAAGTAGGGATTTGGTTAGAGTGATACGAAATATTTAATTTTACCTTTACATGTTCATGTCAAATAGGGAAATAAACCTTGTGGAATTAGGTAAGACAATGCAACCCTAATTTTATGCGTCGCATGGCCGTTGGTTTGTAGGAATCCGATTTGTTATGATGCCAATTAAACGTGTGATTTGGTAAAGCATATTAATATTATTTTCCCATGTACTAATAAGAATTTAACTGATTTCTTTGGATTGTGCAAAGAGTAACAAATTGATATTCATTATCCGCACACGTCATGTCTCAAGCCCGTTAGAGTTACGCAAAATTTAAAGCATGTTTGGAATGACTTATTTTAGGGATAAGTTCGAAATGTGTTACGCCGGCTTATTTTCAAAATAGATGAACACGTTAAATAGGCTACATATTTTTACTTATCTTTTAAGGTAAGGCACCTAAAATATGCTCGCTCATTTGAATTTTTCTGACCATATTTGAGTCCCATTGTTTTATAAGAATATATTTTGAAATAGCAATCATGCTACAATTATAGGAAATTTTGATATACAACATATGACATGGAATTATTGGAAAATGGGGAGAGTGAGAAAAAAAGATGCTAATCATGCGTCATCACATCAACGTTGATATGAATTCTGTCAATATTTTTCTGTACTCATGGCTTTTTCCTTGAAATAGTAGATTGATTAAAAATTTATAATTAAAAAATAAAGAAAAATTTTGTATTTGCATCATTATTTTACTGAAACGTGTGGTTAAAAATAAGAATAAAAACATATTTTTAAAAAAACGAGCATAAAGAAACAAAAGTTAGCCAAAATGTTCTCGTTCGTGGTGAATGAGTAAGCAGACAAGATGATTTGATAGAGAGCACAAGTACCTTTTTTTGCACGCGCAAGCACAACCACTTGTTAGTATGTGTTTCTTGTTTGAACTGACAATCTAGAGTTCTTAGTTACACAAGTCTTGGACGATTAGCATTGGACCACATTTTCCCGACCAATCCAATCCAATTTTTCTGAATGTTAAAACTCAAAAATTCCACTATTGAGAAACACAGTAGCCGGAGAAAGTGAGAATTTCAAGAAAATGTGGCTGTTCAACAGAAAAGGCCCATCTGGTTTTTCTTCTTCTTCCACTGCTGAAGAAGTCACCAATGGAATTGATGGCTCGGGCCTCACTGCCATTGTTACAGGTCCCAATTTTTTGTTTTTCAATTGTAACATTTTTTTTATGAATTCTGTTGTTCTATTATGCTCATCAATTCTTCCATGCTTTATTAATGTTGTTAATTTTGATTTTGATGAAATTTTGGGTTCTGTTTTTATAATTATTAAATTGCCTTAAACCAATATATCTTAAGTATGAATTTTTTTTATGTTTCATTTTATATAATAAACAAAGTCGGAAGTACTCTCATAACTTAAGGCTATACAAGTTTCAGGATGAAATTCTCGTGCTCTGTACATCTCCAGTGTACACAGTTTGTTCAAAGATGGAAAATTCAGAAACTTCGGAATTTTCTTTTGGCTGATTAGTTATCTGTTAAGGTAGAATCCCACATCAAATAATTATAAAAATATAAATCTAGATGTGTGATTTGAGCTGTTCCTTTTAAAAAGGTTGACGTGTAAAATGAATCTCTCGTGTTCATATGATATCAAAGCCTGTAATAGTTAATCTGCGAGCTATTAGATTTCACAAACCACCGTCCAAGCCTCCCTTTCTAATTTCAGACAAAAACTAGATGCTGAATTACGAGAAATGCTCCAGTTTCAATGTTCAGAGCAGAAAACTTTGTGCCCCTAATAAAACAGTCTCGCCTTCCTTTATCAGTAATGACTTATTCCTAATTTGTAATATTTCTTTGGTAATCAAAAGATGACGACGTTTCTTATAAAAGCATATGGTAATGTGCTCTTCCTGCATTTGAGTTTAGTCGTGGATACTAAAATTGCAGGGGCATCGAGTGGTATTGGTTCAGAAACTGCACGTGTTCTTGCATTGCGCGGTGTGAATGTTACAATGGGTGTCAGGGATATGGCTGCTGGAAAACAAGTTAAAGAAGCAATACTAGAGGAAATTCCATCTGCTAAAGTTGATACCATGGAGTTAGATCTCAGTTCATTGACATCTGTCCGAAAATTTGCTTCCAAATTTACTTCCTCAGGTCGTCCTTTGAACCTTTTAATGTAAGTAAACGAGCCAATATGAATTTGATGTCATCTACATGCATCACCGTCACACATTGTCAGTGGGTGTTGTATTTGCAGTTCACTTGTATTTTACTGTGGGTTTTTTAAGAGTGGGTTTTGTCTTCTCTTTCGAAAGTAATAATGCAGGAGTGATGGCAACCCCGTTCACGCTCTCTAAAGACAACATCGAGCTGCAGTTTGCTACAAATCACTTGGGTATTTGGCTCTTTCCTGTCTGCACCTGTCTATCTAAATGTGCAAAATTACAAATACTCTAGAGACGAAGGCATACTCTTGTCGCATATCATGAAGTAAAAGCTTGTAATATATCTTTTGTATTCATTATTTTATTTCAATTAGGAACGAGTTATGTCTAATATGATGGCTCTGATTAAAATTTGAGAAGTCTGTCTCACTATTCGGAAGTCGGAACAGTAGAGCTTGGAAATCATTTACTGCCACAGGAAGTAGAAGACTGAACTTTTACCGATGATGCCTAAAAAAACAGTAAAAGTACTTTTTTGAAAGAAAATTAAAGGCTTGCTTCTAAAAAAGTTAGCTCGTCATCTATAATTACTAAGGACCTGTTAATGGTGAACTCTACTTACACATTAAAATTTTCATTCTCATTTTTCTATTCATTTTTAACCACACATTCTCCAATAAAATAATATTTTACATCGCCTCAATAACTTTTCCTTCTTTTTCAACCAAATATTCTCCATTAATCTACTATTCCAAAATATATTTTTCCAAAATAATGTGGCTCAAACACACCCTAAAACTGAACACCAATTGAAGTGGTTGCTACTTTATTTTGTGTCCGTGAAGTCACTTTTCTTTCTGATTTGCAGGTCATTTTCTTTTAACGCATTTGTTAGTAGAAACCATGAAAAAAACAGCTCGTGAGACGAAAAGAGAAGGAAGAATTGTGAATGTTTCATCAGTGGCACACCGCTTTACGTATAGCGAAGGGATTCGTTTCAATAGGCTCAATGATAAAAAAGGGTATTTGATTATATCTCCTTTTCTAATTCATCTCTTGGATCAGGTTATGAATTCAAGGAAGTTGATATATTTTCATATGTGATTTTGATTGTCTACATGCAGGTACAACAACTGGGCTGCTTATGGCCAGTCAAAACTTGCTAATATACTCCATGCTAAAGAGCTGGCGAGACGATTAAAGGTACCTAATTCGATGTGCAATTCTATACAAGATTCATTGTCCATCGTAGGATTTTTGTGGGAAACGATCTGGGATTTTTATGGAAGATAATGAATCAGAATAAATTCATTTATAATTGTAATGAACTTTTTAAACTCGATACCTTTCTCGGAGTGGATAGGCTAACGATAGCTGAATGCTGTGCATTCGGGTAAAACTTCAATTTTTTTTCTTCATCCCATATGGTGAAAGTTTTCATTGATCTTGGAACCAAATATCTAATGTCATTAGATTTTTCTTAAAAGCTAAACAATATTAGATGAAATACAAAAGATCCTTATTTTTTTTTGTTTGTCGCTCGTATTTGAATACCGTGAAGTCTAACCTAATAAAATTTAAAGATCCCACGAGGTTTTTAGGGCTGTTAAAGTAAGCATAAAGTTTCTTATATTGATTTTATCTCATGGATTCAAGCCCCTTCCCCCAACCATGATCCTAAAAAAAAAAAAATTTAACGAAATGAAAAAGAAACGAGACACACTCACATCCAATCTCATTTGAAGCATATACATCGTATATTCTTAGTTATTGGAATCAATTTTTCATATAACAGGAAGATGGAGCAGAAATAACTGCAAATTCACTTCATCCTGGATCGATCACGACCAATCTTTTCCGTTATCTCGGTGTTTTTGAAGGTGAGTTGGGTGTTTTCGAAGGTATATTTATATGATTTGACTTAATGTCTCGATAAAAAATTATCAATTAACTTTTGTTTGCGTGTTTGGAGTTTTGCTTCTATTGGAATCATTTGTTTTAAGAGCCAAATAGAAGTCGGATTTTATGTTTGTTGGGAGTAAAAGAAGTCCCACATCGGTTAGACATGAGAAATATGATGGGTTTATAAGTGTAGGACAATACTCCATTAGTATGAGTCCTTTTGGGTAGCATCCAAAAAGCAAATTCTTAAGGGCCAGACCTAAAAGCGAACAATATCATACCAATGTGGAGTTTGGCGGATCCTAACAATGCTGGCGGTGAAAAGTTCTTGGTAATGTAGATACAGTAAGCGTTATGTTACTTATAAGTATCTTAAACTCGTGTGGCTACACAGTTTTTAAAAATAGAAAGAAAAGGAAAACTACGAAGCTTTCTTGAGAAAGCATGAGTTCGTGTTCTCCATTGTCCTAAGTATCACTATATATGGGATTCTTGATATACATGAAGAGAGCTAAACATCTTTGGCTAATGTGCATTATGGTTGGATATGATCTAGTTCGGTTTTAAAAAGAACCGAACAGAACCGAACCCGAATATTCGGGTATTTAGTAAATGGAATCGTCGGATTCAAATTTAATTATGGAACCGTTCGGTTCGGTTTGGTTCGATTCCCAAGTTCCGAACAATAATTAATTTTTTTTATATTTACAACATAGCTACATTAATTCGGCTATAATATGTTCAATCTTAACTTTTACACAATAACGTAGTCCAATTTCGTGATATTTTTTGCGCCTCTTTATTAAGTTCTTCATATATTTGACTATTAAAATCACAGGAAGAGGAACATAGCAAGTTCACAATAATAGAACGGCAAAAACGACACTACGGTAGAATAAGAGGTTTTGGTAAAATTTAGGTTAATTTGATTAAGTTGAACTTGGCTAGAAATTAGAAATAGTAAAATCATATTTTAAATTTTGGTTAAATTAATTAGTTAGCAAATTTATTTAGAAAAATTAAAATAATTTGACTTATTTAATATAAAAAATTAGGGAGATTCGATTTTTATTCGATTCTTGGTTTAGAACCGAGAACCGAACCAAACCCGTCAGTTCTCAATTCAGATATCCGTTTTGGATTCGATTAAGTTCAGTCTGGGTCCGATTGGAGAGTTTTGTCCAACCCTAATGTACGTGGTGCAAATCATATCTAACTCCGTTGGTACTTTCTTGTTTGGTGCAGGTGTTATAAGTACAGTTGGTAAATTCGTGTTTAAGAACATTCCACAGGTACATTTCCCTTTCACACTGTGCTTTTTTTTTTTTAAGTATACAGCTTGAAAATTACTGCTGTTCTCGAGTTTTCTTTAATATCCTCCTTGGGGAGATGCTCGATTACCGTTTCAACTCTGCATAGGAATTTGTTATGAAAAAAACATAGTTACTTGATGACATTGTCCTAAAAACAAAAATGATTCTAACATTTCTTGTCGGAATTTGTATCTGATTTGGTCTGAAGGGAGCATCGACAACCTGTTATGTGGCATTGCATCCACAAGTGAAGGGAATAAGTGGTGAATATTTTTCGGACAATAATGTGGCCAAACCAAGCTCGAAGGCTGCAGACACAGATTTGTCAAAAAAATTATGGGATTTTAGCATGGATTTGATCAAGTAATGTTGTATTATCGATATCTTGGAAACAAAGTTTAACGAGAGAATATATGCAGCTTTATGTATTAGTCATTCTTCGAAATTTTTCGATAAATTTTTCTTTTCATTTCTGAATTATAAATATTGCCACGTGGAATTGCAAATTAAAGAGAAAATATAAGTGGTTTTGAGTAGTTGGGCATTTGAAGCTATTGAAAATTTCTCAAAAATCAGCAGTTACTCTATTGTATATATTTGAATTAAGAATTTGCTAAGTATATTATTAAAATGCTATTTTGAAAATTATAAAATAAGGAATAATTCCTTTTTAAAAAAAAAATTCAAAGTAACACATTATGAAATTAATTTGAAATATTGAATATTTAATTCAGTTATGTTGGAAGTTTAAAGAGATAACTCAAATACAATTTTGCTAAAATTTGTTAATTATCAAATAATTTAGTTATTAGAATTTTTAAAAATATTAACTTTAATAAAATACAAGATGAAATTAATTACTGTAATGATGAACTTTTAGCAATGTTTAAATTAATTAGTAAATTTAGTAATATTTAATCATTTTTAGTATTTACTGAAATATATTTATTTGAAAATATTATAAGAGCTTGTTTGTTTGGGATTCTCAAATTCTACAGTAAATCAATTCTCATTGTCAACCACACATTCTTCAATAAAATAATATTTTTCATCACATTAATAATTTTTTCTTCTTTTTAAACCACACATTTCCCATTATATTATTATTCAAAAATCAATTCTTCCCCCCAAAAATCCCAAACAAACACACCCTTGAGCCAAAACAGCTCTACACAGTTGCAAAATTACTTTTGCACTGAAGTTGAAAGGAAGACAAAGATCAAAGATGTGGTTATTCAACAGAAAAGGGCCGTCTGGGTTTTCAGCTAGTTCTACAGCTGAAGAAGTCACACAAGAAATTGATGGGTCTGGTCTCACTGCCATTGTTACAGGTTTCTTTATTTCTTTCTCCCTTATCTTCAAAAGATATACTACAGACACTGTTATCTTTGATTCTTCTTCTCATTATTATTGTTTTGCTTCTTAATTTCATGGTTATAGCCTTTTTGGGTGTTTGTTGAAGGTGGGTTATGCTGGTTATCCGTGTCTGAATGTCTGCGGAAGGCTCAATTGATAATCTGGATGTTCAAGATATAATTTGAATAAATAAATTCGTTTAGCAGTTTGAGACTTACAGATTTAAGTAGTTTCAAGCGTGCAGAGCCATACTTATTTACGAAAATTCTGTACTTGTCGGGTTTTGATGAAAAAATGAATCCATCTTGCAATCATCGAAAGCTTTCAAACAAGATTATTTTAATGTGGAATTTTGAATCCTTTTACCAGTTCTTGTAGACTAAAAATGCAAATGATGATAGATATTTTACAAAAAATGAAAAAGATCAACCCATATTTGCCGGGAATGTAAGAAAACAACAGACATTTTCATTGTTAGATATGGAATTTTTCCATTGGGATGCGGTGCAATAGATAGTCGCAGAAATATAACTCTCTATTGACCACAAAATTTATTTGTGAAATTCTATTCTTATAGTGCTAGAAGCCTTCCCTGGAATCTGATTAAAAATATGTTTGGTGCGAGAAAATTCCTAATCTATTTCATTGAATTGGTATTTGGATGGAATAATGATAAAGAAAGAAGAGGGGAGAAAATTTCCAGATATATTAGTAGCTGCTTTTTGCTCCTGCTGAGCATCTTCATTTCGTTCCTGTCTACTACCATTACAGGAGCTGCAAGTGGTATTGGAGCGGAAACTGCAAGGGTTCTTGCATTACGTGGAGTCCATGTAATCATGGCCGTCAGAAACCTCTCTGTCGGTAATGAGGTCAAAGAAACAATTATTAAAGAAGTTCCGAAAGCCAGAATTGATGCCATGGAGTTGGATCTCAGTTCAATCACATCAGTAAGGAAGTTCGCTTCAGAGTTCAATTCCTTGGGCCTTCCTCTAAATGTACTCGTGTAAGAAAAGCATGGATAAAACTTTTAAGATTTATTTCTGCGTGTGGATGCTGATTTTCTTGGTCTTGTATATTTATCAAATTGGCAGTATGTAGGGGCATAAACAAGCCATTTTTCTCCCATCCTCTTAACCAGATATTTAGGTTCTGCTATAACTAAATGATGCTTCTGATTTGTGAGATCTTGATTCTTAGAATCTAGAGGAGTTTTTTTTTTTATTTGCAATCATGAACTTAATGAGGGTTAAGCATCTTGCGTTAAACAATGCTATTACAAAGACATGTATACTCACTGAACTATATAATCCTACTGTTTCCTTTTCCCCGTCTTATTTTGTGACTGTGCTAAATTTTAGTCATTTCATTTCCCAAAGATTGCATATTCTCTGTATATGTGTGGCCTTGCTAATAAGCATCAGTATTGAGTTGCTGAACATTTAAGGTTTTACTGTATTGACAACAACTCTTAGAATGGTTTAAAATATACCTAATCATTGATAAGTAATTTATTCCCTGTTCACAAGTAACAATGCAGGAATTATGGCAATGCCTTTCATGCTTTCCAAAGACAACATAGAGCTGCAGTTTGCGACAAACCATGTGGGTAAGATGCATTACATTGATGTTCGACATAAAGTGAAAAATTAAAAAGAAAAATATATAAAGAGTTCTGATTTAACTCCTAAATGATGATTTTGGATTCAATTATTGATCCTTTAGTTCATAAATACCCGAAACTAAAGTTTTGGATGCATGAGTGGAATCTCTAGCTTGTTTAGTAGTTCGACCAGATTTGTTCCATGTAACGTGGAAATTTTTGCTTCTCTTGTTAATTGTAGTAATAAATGGCCTAGTTTTGTTCCATTAACCTCCAATTTCATAGCATGATGGTTCTTACACTATCTCTTCTTGCAGGACATTTTCTTTTGACTAATTTATTGCTTGAAACTATGAAGAAAACAGCGTGTAAAAGTAGTCAAGAGGGCAGGGTCATTAATGTTTCGTCACGGCGGCACAAGTTTTCTTACCCTGAAGGAATCCGCTTCAGTAAGATTAATGATCGAACGGGGTAACATAGTTTCCTTCTTAGCTATTTTCTTCTCGTCAGTTGTCGAGTTTGTCACAATCAACATTGCATCTTTTGTACTGATAGAGAGGTTTGTCCACAGTTTATGCCAATCAAGTCAATTTTTAGGTTTGGTGCCTTCCACTAATTAATCAATTTTAAGAGTGTTTTTGCAAGTTAAACCCTTAATCAGGAAGAGTGGAATGTATTGGGCCAGATTGTAAAGCATAGCATGTTTCTTCACGTCTCCAGCAGGTTATTGTCATCATAATGATACAGAAACTACTTCCCTAAAATTTTCAAGTTGGCATTAATTAGGTATTTATTAATAAAGGTGCATTAAAAGAGTTATCTTTTTGACCACCAACCATAAAAACACAAAGCTCTTCAGACTCATTTAATCCTTTTCTCAGGCGTTAATAGGTTGAATGCATTTCTGCAACAAACTTTATTTGGTGCTTGTGATGATACACAGATACAACAGTCTATCTGCATATGGACAATCAAAGTTAGCTAATGTGCTGCATGCTAATGAACTAGCCAGGCGTTTGCAGGTACTTTGGCTTATTTTTTGAATATCTAGAGACTAGTTTAAACATATAACTTATTTATAACATTAGTCAGACACTGGACATAATGATTTTAGAGACAGATTTTATCTGCATGATTTACTATGATGGATTGACCTTTCAATTGCACTTTTTTCAACTATCAGCCCTTGTTCTGAACCCTAATGAACTCAAGAAAGGGACTTTTACTTTTTTAAGTGTTGCACTTGGCTTTACAGATGGTAGAAGGAAAGTCATCTATAAAGTCTGTTGCCTTATCATCTAAATCATCTAATAATGCTAGTTAATGCGCTGCATGCTAATGAACGGAACACTATCTAAATGTTCAAGTCTTGAAAACTGGTATATTAAAATCATCAAGTAGCATTGTCCTGCATGCGCATTCCTTAGTTTGATGCAATTGTAAGTATAATTATCTGGTCGAGTTCTTTTGAAGGAAGAAAAGGTGGAGATAACAGCTAACTCGCTTCATCCTGGGGCAATTGCCACCAATCTTTTTCGTCATCACAGCTTTGTCAGTGGTAATGTCTTCTAACTCTTCCAAGGTGCCTTGCGAATCTTTAAAATTTCAACCTCAGAGGTTTAGGCCCAATGTTGAGTGAAGACTGAACTATACGACTTTTCCTTGAAAACAATGCCACGTGTGCTTAACAATTCCCCTGCAGGGCCATGAGATTACTCCGTAAGTTGTGTTCTGTATGATGTTTACCTTCTCGACAATTTCCCATGCTATACAATGACATTGTTACATACAATTTGAGAGCCGAGTCATTCGAAAATGAAGAAGCCTTTGTGGTTCGCCTATTCTGCATTGGGTTAAGCCCTAGTATCCTACAAGCAACCTTAGAAGTCTCTAGCACTCTAGCTTATCAACGTGAAAGAGCTTACTATTCCGTAAAGAATTTCCTCAAATATCTCTTATTGAAGAAGAATTCTATCAATCTATTCTTAAACTCTGCAATCTAAGTGCTCAGTGTATTAGTTAAATGTGGAAATTATTTCATTTGTGTATCTGAACAAATACTCGTCTTCACTGCAGTCATTGTTGATGCTCTTGGCAAGCATGTGATGAAAAATGTTCAGCAGGTATTTATCATCATTGCAGGAAAGAAATTGTATCTTACTGAAGTTTATCTTTTCATTCCCTTGAAAAGAGTCGTAGTGCATTTATCTTGGACATTCATTGATTTCTTTTATTATCAGATTTTGAAATTGAAACTCTGCTGCTTATGTTCTTAATCTCTAGATTTGTGATTTAATTTTCAGAAACTTAATTATGACCTAAATGCTTACAATTTCAGGGGGCAGCAACGACGTGCTATGTGGCACTGCATCCGGATGTTAAAGGCATGAATGGTAGATACTACGCGAACTGTAACCTGGCAGAAGTTAGCTCACAAGCTAATGATCTTGAATTAGCAAAAAAGTTCTGGGATTTTACCGCTACTCTTATTGACCAATGTAAAACTTAGCTTTCTGAATAATAAAAATGTAACCTCCATATTGACCTTGTTTGTAATGGGTCATGCTACATGTACTGAATTTTTTTATCAAATCTTTTACCCACTACTCACAATGGGGGCAGAGACCACATTGTCGAAATTTTTAAATACATGCGGGTCCCGCGCATTATGTGAGAAGGTGTAATCCATTATGTACAAATGGATTAACCCGTTTGTAATATATATAATTAAAGAGAGGAATCTTTCTCCACGTAGAGACAACGTTTAAAGATACTTCTATTATATATATTTTTTCCATTAGTATATAACAGAATTGATCAACTGATACTCCCGATCTCTCTCTAACGAACTAAATGAATGAATTTGATCTCAACGGCTTAAAATTACGGCTTTCAGACCTAACTATACTAAAAAAAAAATTTATTAACTTCACTGTCGTTAATCAAATTAGATTAACTAAAAACTGACCTCAAGTTCTCAGCATTTCACATCTGGGACATGAATTAACTTTGTCTTAAAATTAATTACAGACTTTGTCTTAAAATTAACTTAAGTTATGGGCTTCAATTATTATACTTAAAAGAATTATAATGTTAGACTTTAACATAGACCTTAATTTTCTAATTCTTGTGCCTCGCGTGATTTTGAAGTAAAATATTGAACTTACAAATATAAATTAATAATTTTTATAAAATATCTTCAATCGAAGCTTGTAATAACTAAGAACACAAGCGTCTTCCCTGTTGGAGAGTTTTAAGTGGAAACAATCTTTTCAGTACTATATTCAGTTGTTAGCCAATTGCTGTCATGTATAAGTCCTATGATGTCCTGCCATATTGGCCCGGCCCATCACTGGGACATGAATCTCCTATAGATGAGGTATTTGCTTAAAACGTGACCTACTCTACTGATTGCAGCAGCACGATGGGATAAATGGGAGCCTGCTGGTGGACCAATCTCACAAAATATGTTTCCCACATTTGTGACACACTACTTTTATGTTCGAAGACTCGGAACCGATCTTTTATGTAAGGAGACTATCGCAGTAAGTTGAGGATGACCCAACTGCGTTAAGAAAAAAAAGTAGAAGAAAAATCTGACTACTTCATGCATACTCCACTTAGATATAACACGGTAGAGTTTTGCTCTTGCAATTGGGTCATTGCAATTACAAGGTGGGCGTCTAATTGTCCAGACTTTAATGATAGTATCTTATGCTTGAACCGTTGGCTCGCTTTTTTAAGTAGTGTGAAAAATGACTAAAACAAGCTATTAAAAGACTCCGTTGAAACAAAGATTGATTGTTAAGAACATAGTAGAAATAGAATTGACTGTTAGTTAAATCTAGTCTGTATAATTCGTGGACTACCGGTAGTTGGAGTTAATGACAATCCCAAATCATGCTCCTCTCGCCCCATTTGCAAGCACCAGCTCGCTTGCTAGGAGGACCTAGCCTAGCTCGATAGTGGACGAGTCGAGCGGTTCGGCTCAGCCCACCTAATGCCCCTATGCTTCAACATACTAAATGAGACTTATTTTCGTCATATCGCAAACCCAATAATTTCGTATACAGTTTAAGAAAATACACAAGGAAATAAAAAGATAAGCAAAGATATCAGCAGATTCTTGAATACAATGTTAGAAGTAAGAGTAAACTACTTCCATTTTCTACCATAATACAAGGCATGCACTGGGTTTTATTCACGAATTCACTTTCATGAATGCTTGTTTCAGTCCACAGTTGATTCAGAAGAAGAAAAAGTTGTTCGATTACTGTATACATATAAAATAAAGAATAGAAAGAAGAAAACCTTAAACAATACTCTGGAAATGATCTTACTCGAACAACTAAGCTGTTGAACGCATTTGTACATAACTTTCACGGGGCTTGCAAACTCTACCTCCATAACTGCATTCTCAGGTTGAAACCTGCACGAGTCCCAAGTTCGTATAACTTAACTTTGAATCTTTATTGGAGATATGCACATGTTTCGACATTAGCTGACCCCGGGCTGCAGCATTGAGAAGAAAGTCCAGACTTTCCGAGGACTTAATTCCTTCTTCGAAACTTTGTCATTAGTCCACCACTCACAGTCAATGGCGGACTTGTCTAAGACTTTTTCCTTTGCATTGTTGAAATTGAAATCCTTGCTAGAACCCAGTGAAATTGTACGATGCCTCCGAGCCATGTCGGGAACTTCACTGACAGTTTCCCCATCAGAATATTCGCTACAACAATCAGTGTTCTTTATCAAATCACTCTGATTTGTACCATTTGTTGCTGTCTCCGGTACAGTTTGCAATGCAGTTTTGTGTGATGGAACCGTCTCCCTTATCACACAAGTCGGAATATCTTCACCAATAAGCTCAAATGAGACTCTATAATCAACTACAACTTCCCCATCTTTCAATTCGTTATTTGAGTTGGCAAGGGATGTCACTTCAGAAATTTGGCCTTCTAGAAGATAACTGTCTTGAGATGGGTGTTCTCCACCATTAGGTGTTACTGTTCCAGAACCTAACCTAGAAAGCCCACCATTAGGTGTCAATGTTCCAGAGCCTAGCCTTGAACCCCAACCTGTTGGAGTCAATGATCCAGAACCGACTCTTGAACCCCACTTAAGATTGGCAAAGTGTTCATAACCAAGAAATTTGGGAGCTTCTCCCTTGCAGAATTCAACTATAGAGAGCTTATCGGGAAAGGGTGAAGTGGTTCCTGACGTAGAAATTGCTGAACCTGGTGATTTGAGACGACCTCCAGGGCTCCCTGGGTATTGATAAGGCTGAAAATCAAACTGGGATAATGAGAATTTCATATTGGTTCCACTGTTTCTGTGATTACGTGCTAGTGATGATGTCAAAAGCTGAGCAAATGGCACTTCTGGTGAAGAAGGTGTTGTCATTTGCACTGATTCAGGAGGGGGTGTAAAACAAGCAGTTGATGGCTCAGTAGTGAAGGCAGAAAACACTGGTGGTGAAACTAATTGAGTCTCATAAGCATAGGGGCCAACTGCAAAAATCGGTGCCGTCCCACCTGGAGAGTATAAATTAACAGAAAGGGACGTCAGGGAAAGTAAACCTGCTGGTGATTGGGTGATGGACGGAGGATCTGATTGGAGAAAAGATGCAGGAGAAGAGGGAGGGGCTATGAAGGGCAATACTATGGTGGCAGAATAGTTTGGATTTTCAGCAACAGGAGCTTCAACCCCAGGTTGACTCGGTTCAGGAACAAGGACAGCATGACCAATCCGTTTCTTGGGTTTGTGTGAACCAAAGCACCCATAAAGATTCCAGCAGTTTCCCCATCTTTTCTTCTGAAGCAAAATAAACACAATAAATGTCATGTATTAGGTCAAATTAGTGATTTCTGTAAGATCCGATCAAAGAAAACTCGGAGGTGGTATTTTTGTTTTGTTTGTTGTTTAACCCCGTGCCAAAAAGAGGACAACAATCATATCCATGATGTAAACAGATAGCAGACAAGCACACAAAGGAATGGACAAATCAATTTGCTTTAAAAAGTTGAATCACGGGAAGCAAACTAAATATTGTGTTACTTAATCATGTTGCACCTTTCTATTTTCAGCTCAACTAAATTACTTCCATATGCAAACAGATTTATTTGCAGTCCATTTGGTCAAATAGAATATCAGTACGATGCGACTGAATAAAACTAGAAAGATGAGTTTCTTGTCATTCCAGTTTTGCAAAGACAGTTAATTAAGCAGGACAGTCCCACTTTGTTTTCCTCAAACTGAATGAATTAAGTTGCAGTATTTCCATAATATGTCAAGCAAATACATTTAAGAAGACAAAGACTGAATTCCTGCGTTAAAGCCAACTTTTTGCATAACTTCATTCCCACTGATTAACATTGTGGAAGTCCACATATTCTTCAATCTTCCCGATTAATGATAATGGATGAGTTTACTGCCCTCCTTTGTCACACCAAGACATATAGTATTCCCCACGTGCTCTTGAAGTTAGTTTCAAGAAAACTTCAAGAAGCACTAAACCAAATTAGACAAAGAATTAAATAACATGAATAGCTAGAAATAGCACCTAAACAGCTTCACTGGACCGGTCTGTCCAAAGTCCTCCACCTGAATGTTTACTTCATGTTAGTAGGCAATCCACCATCAGGTAATCAGCAGAGTTCTGATTGTTAATAATTCTACCCCGATCCCAATGGCTTAACTGACTGAATTGTATTTTCCTTTCTTGCAGTCTTCATTTTCTTACGTTAGCACTATCATGGTTACGTTTATGTCAAGTTTGGTTACTTCTTGTCCCTTTTTGCAGTGTTCATTTTTCATAATAGCACTATAATTTGAGTAAGGTTTCTCATGCCAACATCCTTTGACCTTGGAGTTTGACGTCAAAAGCCTTTGCTGCTTCTCTCGTCTATAAGAAGCAAAAAGCAAGGATTGGCACATCCAAGCCAAAGTTGACCAACGAAAAGCTATCGACTATGTTATTTGTTAGAGCCTTCCAAACCAGGTGCAGAAATTTAATGCAAATGCATATTGAACAAAAGTCCACATAACCAGAAAATGATTTTCTGTTTGTGGTGTCCATGGCACCAAGAGCTCATACCAATATCAGATACGATAGCTTATTCTCAGTCAAAGCTGGAATTGAAAGGAAAAAAAATGAGCTTTGATGAGTATCTTGATGATGAATGAATATCTCACTGACCCAATCTCTCTATGTACAAGAAAATTCTACAATACTGTTAACTCAAACAATATTTTCTCCAACTATGTAAAAACCAATTTCTTCTGTCCAAGCTTATTTATGTATATGAGGAAATCGTCACAATTTAAAAATTCATTCCTTTAAATCTCAATTCAAGGTCAAATTTAGCTTCAAATTTTTGAATTTAGTTTACAAAAAAAATATTTTGTTTGAATTTTTATAATATCTTCTAGATTTTACCTAAATTCTCATATTGAAAAATCAGAGCTTCAATCTTTATTTTTTCCCCTCTTACTTTGAAAAAAATAAAA